AGGGGTGGACTCGGGCTGGGTGGCCCAACCCGGAACCGGACCGGCCCGGCACTGTTTGGGCCCGGCCCGAACCGGTGGAAAGGCCAGGGACTGGTCCGGGTAGGCCCGGCCCGGGGGGTTTATGGTCCGGGCTCGAGTCACCCAAACACGAACCGACCTGGGCACCTGGCTGGTCTGGGCCCGGTTCCGTTTTTTTTTTTCAATTTTTTTTCTAGGTTGGGTTGAGTGTTTTGGGCCATTTGGTGTGGTTTGGGGGGGGGGGGGGGGGTCGGGGATTAATTAGAAAATAAAAAAAAATCAAGTGGCCCGAGGCCCGGCCCGACCCGGACCCGCCTGCCACCCGGGCCGGTTCCGGTTCACCCATTCCTTAATAAAGGCCCGGTTGGGCCCAGGCCCAAACCGGAACCGGCCCGGCCCGGGTCCACCCCTACTCCAAACCCTTAAGCCAATAACAAAATGATGTGCTTGACACAACTAACTGAAAAGATCATACAAGGAAAGTGTTGCAACTATTTGATAAAAAGATGGTTATTGATTTAGTCGGTTTCATATAATAAACTTTTGTGACTAATTAATAATTTAATACTAAAAGTTACAAACTTTCTTTGGATATTACACACTGTAATTTCTAAAGAAAATTATTTTGAAAAAACTCTTAAAATTTAACATGACAAAAACACAATTAGAAATTTTAAAAAACTTTTAAATGGTACAAAATGCATAAGGTAGGAATTTATTTCTATCGGTGTATTACGCTTGGTAAGTGAAACCGAAAATATAAGAATCGGGTGAAATTTTAAGAAAATCCAAGAAATTTTCCTCTTTGCAGTCAAGCCCAGTCAAAGACTAAGAATGATTACCCGTTCAAAAAAATGGTTCACATTAGCTCCTCAGAATAGGTGCTATTGAGGATTTGAGTTCAACAAAGGTATGTTCTTCAATGCATGTGCCTCCAAGCATCTCAGCGAGTAGCGGATTTATGATTTACATTTTTGGTGTTCATTTTTAATACAATCAAAACTTGAAAGAACAATAAATAATTTCACAAAATTTATACATGTATACTTGCTTGTTTCTGAAAATTTTAAGTGTTCATGTGAACACTCTTGATCAAAAGTAGTTGCGCTACTGATCTCAGCTCAAGCTTCTCTCCAACCCCATGTAAACACTTCTTCCCCTTCATCTCTTCCCAATCCCGTTGAATCCGAAAACATTGAAACATGGAATAAGGATACAAATATTACCTATAGCTTTGCGAAACACAAAAATTGGACACCATTTCTTTCTTTCTTTCTTTCTTTGTTTTTTTTTTACAAAAAGATGACTAATCTGTTACTTATGTAATCTAACATTTTTTCATTGTATTTATATCAAATCTTTGCCTCAACCCCCCTTAGGGATAGATCGGGCCCGGTCTGACCGACCCGGACCGCAACTGTGCGGTACCGGCCTGAACCGGTCAGCCGGGACCGGGGGATGGCGGGCTACGGGATAGGGTAATGGGTGACCGGCCCGGCCGGTCCGAGTTTTGTATTTATATTTTATTTTTTGGCTTTGCTCTTTGACTAGGTGGGTAGGGCTGGGTGGTTTGGGTGGGGGGTAGGAATTAATTTGAAAAGCAATTAAAAAAAATAAACAAGACCCGACCCGACTCGATCTGGTCCCAGAACTTACCGAGGCCCGTACCGGGCCTCCACTACCCAAACCCAGTCCCGCCCAAGGCCCGATCCGGACCCATTCCCGACCCGGGCTTGGTCCACACCTGTCCAGTCAGAGCCATATTTGTCACGATAAACCACCGCCAGAAACCGCCACCGAAAATGTCACCGGATTTGTAATGATTTTTTTCTTCGTGTTTCATTTTTTTCAAAATCACCTGGAAAAGTCACTGGAGAATTATCCTTATCCACCGGTCATAGTGACATGCTTCAGGCGACAGTGATAGTAACATGAAAATCTGGAGTGACATTGTAATACCCGAGATTAATTTAAGAGGATTAATAGTACTACTCATACCAACAAGGTACATCTCCTTTTAAGGGAGCTTATCATCAAGAACTCCAAAGTTAAGCGTGCTTGCACGAGAGTAGTCTTGGGATGGGTGACCCCCCGAGAAGTTTCTCAGGGCGCACACGAGTAAGCACAAAGTGCGCGTGGAAGGCTTGTGGCGGTTTGTGAGGACAGTACTAGAGGTCCGGAGGATGTGTTGGAGTAACTACCTCGGGTCCTGCGGGGCCGGGGTGTTACAAACATCTATTAGTTTAAAATTCTTGTAGTAAAAAGTAAAAACAACACGCTCTTGTAAAAATGATGTTTTTGTCATTTTGATGTGAATCTCGTTGATCACATTTGAGAGAGATAAGTGTCAGTTTGGTACATCAACTTGGGAGCGGAGGAGTAAAGAGTACATCAACCTGCAATTGGGATCCACAGGTACACAAAATTGTCAAAACGGGTCTAATTTGGTCCTACCTGTATTAGACTTGGTAAATTGCATAGCTGGCCATAGGATTAGGGAGTTGGGCTAAAAATTAGCCGCCTCAGCAAAGGAGGAAGGAAAAAATCTACGAAGTCCGGAGGTCGAAATCTGGATTTTGCAGATCTGGGTTGGAATCGCCGGAGTTGCCGGAGCCGCCGGAGCCGCCAGAGCCGCCGCCACCATCCCAACCGCCGTGGGACCCCAGGCGAGGTTACCTGCACCAGGTAAAGCTCGATGCAGCATCCCAGGTCTCGCGGCTCCGTTTCCTGGTAAAACTCCGCTCATAGAGGAGTTGTTCGTGGCTCGCAGCTGTTTCCGGCGGCCAGCACCCTAGTCTCCCCGCCGTCGCTCGACGTCACCCATCAGCCGCTGGTCGCTCCTCCACCTGGTCAGATGCCGCTCGAGCCTCCATGAGTCTGCCGACGTGAGCAAAGGGATCTGCGAGTCGACGGTTCCTTGATTTTAGCCATTAATGGCATTTTGGAGCTCAAGGAAGGCACGCTTTGAAGCTCCACCGGACCCCACCAAGGCCGGCCTCTGTCGCTCCCTTGCGCCGCGGCAACTGCCCTTACCGCCGTCGGTAAGTGGCCATCTCAGGTTGCTCACTAATTGTATGGCCAACTCAACAATTTATCAAGCCTAATACCAGGTAGGACCAAATTAAACCCATTTTGACAACTTTGTGTACCTGTGGATCCCAATTGCAGGTTGATGTACTCTTTACTCCCCGCTCCCAAGTTGATGTACCAAACTGACACTTCCTCCATCTGAGAAGTCATTAACATAATATCGTCAAATTTCACTATGCAGTTATGATACTTATAATGCTTTCTGATTACAAGTTTAAATTAAGTGATTATTTTGTATAGGTTGAAAACAAGAACAAAAACAGTCATTTTTCCTGTATTGGCACAATAGAAAATTATGATCCTAATGTTTACAATTTTGGCAAGGTAGTTAGAAGTCAGAACTCAGAATTATACGACCTAAATCCGTTATTTTCCTAAAACTCCATTCGATCTCATTGAGTAGCCAAAAATAGTTTGTCTTTTCCATGTCCTAAGCACACAAACATGACCATATCATATTCAATAAAGCTAATCCCAAGAAATTAAAATAATTCTGACTTTGGTATAACAAATATTATCCTAATAACATACAGAGTATTAAATTATTCACGGTCAATTTTGACATTTGTTTGGGTTTGCAATAGGAAAAAAGGAGCTTTTCCAATCAAAACACCACATGAAATGGGCAAATATGAAATGTATAGGCATATATTCTATTCTTCCTAACATAACAATCTGAAATGCGCTCATATGCATGCTCTACCTAAATCACTGGTTTCAATTCTTATGTTCTGAAAAATCTTAGTGTTACTAAATCAAAATATGGCACTGACACACAAAAAGCTAAGGTTGGGTATAAAGAAAGAAAAAACTGAATATTAATGATCTAACCTAATTCATCTCTTCTTGTCATAACTAAGAATAGGAACACAAAGATCACAAATTCACAAATGTGGATATCGAGGTGAGTACAGATAGTAGGATTGCTTTCTTCAACCATCATGTTTTTTTTATCAATAAATTGTTATGAGACAACATGTGTAGAAGGCTTTCAAGTCTCCGTCACCATTTGGAATGATTTTTTTGACAACTCAACAAAACCTAATAAAGGACTGTACCCATCGAAGCGGAATTAAACACACACTATCCGTTTTTATGAGTCTAGACATCACACGTTGAGGATGCTCTAACAACCCCTAAACTAATACTCCGTAGTATAATGGTATGTTTGGTAGAATATAAAACACTAGCAATTATTTTACATTTGAAGTGTAGAGACCATAAAAACGTAAAAAGTTTATACTATTTGATTTGATTGTTTAATTTAAACTGTAAACTCGCTTTTTAAATAAATTTCGCATTATATCATACTTGTATAAAATATTTGACTTTGGGGAGAGTTGTAAAATACTTGTATGTTTTTTTTGTATACTTTGTACTCAGTACTCCGTATGTTACTAATAAAATATTTTACGTTTTTTTAATTATGAAATATTATACTTGTATACTTTGTACGTTTCTTATACGGAGTAAGTCATTATTACAATAAGTATACGGGTAACTTAACGTAGGGAGTGTTTACAATTGCTTCAACTTTAAAAAAGTGATTTTTTAAAGTGATTTTGGGAAAAGTGATTAATAGTAAAAGTTTGGTAGTGTTTGAGGAAAAAGTGATTCTGAAAAAGTAAAAGTTGGTAGTGTTTGGTGAAATAAGTATTTTTTGTGTAATAGAAAAAGTGAAAAACAGTTTAAAGCACCTTTCCACCTGCTTCCAGCTTTTAGCTTTTAAGTGATTAATTTAAACAGAAGTTGTCACTTGAAAACACTATTTTAGTTTTTTTTAAGTCAAAAGCTTAAAAATGATTTTTTTAATCAACCCCAAACACTGTAATCTCCCTGTAGTTTATATTCAATTATTTTCGCGTGCAAAAGGATTTTGTAACCATTGGTAAGTGAAATTCAAAATTTCAGAAAATCCAAAAAATTTCCTCTTTCAACCCAGTCACAGACTGCAAAACAAAATGATTCTCAAAAGTTCTTCAAATTCGTTCCTCAGAATCGTTGCTGTTGAGAGGGATTTGAGCTCCACAAAGGCATGTTCTTCAATGCCAGTGCTCCCAAGCATCTCAGCTCAAGCCTCTCTTCAACCCCATGTAAACACCTCTTCCCCTTCATTCTTATTCGCCGCTGCTTTTCATCTCCTCCCAATCCTGTCGAATCCGATAACCTTGAAACATTAGTTCAGCATCCCCCGAATTATGACACCGGAAGGGAACCCCCGATTTCTGATAAACAGTTTAAATTCGCCCCACGGCCAGGTTCGCACAAGCAGGGCGACTCCACCTTTTATTCTCTCATCGAGAAGTACGCCAACTCCGGGGACTTCACGTCCCTTGAAAAGGTTTTTGATAGGATGAAACACCAGAATATAGTCTTTGTAGAGAAGAGTTTCATTCTAGTGTTTATGGCTTGTGGTAAAGCGCGCTTGCCTGATAAAGCTATTCAACTCTTTGGAAGAATGGTGGATAAATTTCACTGTAGAGGGGCTGTTAGGTCCTTTAACACTGTTCTTAATGTGATTATACAGTCCGGGTCATACTACCAGGCCTTGAAGTTTTATCATGATTTTGTAGATAAGAGAAGGTTTTTGATGCCAGATGTCTTGACTTTCAATTTGGTTGTTAAAGCAATGTGTAATTTAGGTATGGTAGACAGTGCAGTAGAGTTGTTCAGGGAAATGCCTGGGTGGGAATGCAACCCAGATGTATATACGTATAACACTTTGATGGATGGGCTGTGTAAGGCGAATAGGATTGAAGAAGCTGTGACTTTGTTGGATGAAATGCAAATGGAGGGCTGTTCTCCCAGTCTATATACTTTTAACGTTTTGATCAATGGGTTTTGTAAGAAGGGTGATTTAGAACGAGCTGCGAAGCTTGTAGACAATATGTTTCTCAAAGGCTGTGTTCCTAATGAAGTGACATACAACACGCTGATACACGGTTTGTGTCTCAAAGGGGAGATGGAGAAGGCAATTAGTTTGCTTCATAGGATGACTTCTATCAAACATGTACCTGATGATGTAACATATGGAACCATCATTGTTGGTCTTGTCAAGCAAGGGAAAGTCACCGAAGGTGACTACATTTTGAAAGCAATGGAGGAAAAGGGATACCCTGTGAGCGCATATGCCTACTCTTCGTTAATTAGCGGGTTTTTCAAGGAGGGGAAATCTAAAGAGGCGTTGAAAATATGGAAGGAAATGGTCGATAAGGGGATAAGGAAACCTGACACGGTTGTTTGTTCTGCTCTTATAGATGGCTTGTGCAGGGAAGGTAGACCTGATGAAGCAAGGGAGATACTTTTGCATATGATTAATATGGATTGCATGCCAAATGCTTTTATATATAGCTCCCTGGTGAAGGGTTTTTTCAAAACGGGTAAAAGCAACGAGGCCTTGCGCGTGTGGAAAGATATGGTGGATCGGAATGTTGTACCTGATGAAGTTTGTTACAGCGTATTAATCCACGGATTGTGCAAGGATGGTAAACTGAGAGATGCTTTGATGGTATGGAAGAAGATGATGAGCATTGGTCAGAAACCCGAAGTAGTGGCATACACTTCTATGATATACGTGCTATGCAATTCCGGGTCAATCAGACAAGGACTTAAACTTTTCCATGAGAGTGGAGAATCTAGAAGTCAACCTAATGTGGTTACATACAACATACTTTTTAATGCTTTATGCAAGCAGGATATGGTTTCACACGCCATTGATCTTTTGAATAACATGTTGGATCGAGGGTGTGACCCCGATTTGGTTACATGTAACATTTTCTTGAAAAGTATGAATGCGAAGTTGGATCCACCCAAACGCGGGAGAGAGTTTTTGGATGAGCTAGTGGTACGCTTACACAAGAGGCAGAGAATTCTTGGGGCCTCAAATATTATAGAAGTCATGCTTCAAAAGGCTTTATACCCTAAATTATCCACTTTGGATAAAGTGGTCAGAGAACTATTGAAAGAAAACAAGGTTTCACTAGCCATCGACAAGTGCTGGAATGACCTGTTCCTTTGACTACTCTATGGGGTCAGATGACTTATTTTCTGGCAGCTTTCTATAAATGTTACACCGAGTTACCTTTTTAAAATTAATACTGGAATGACAATCAGAATCGGTGAAGATGGGCGGCAATGGTGGATGGATTGGGTTCTGAAGGAAGAAGTTGCAGATTGGAAGTGAAGGATGAATTGGGTTGTAATGGTGAAGTGGATGTAGAGGTCAGCGAAGTGAAATTCGGGGGAAGATGAGTGAGGGAAGAAAAGAAAGGGAGGCTGTTGCTGGCTGCTACCCGAAAAATAAAATAGGGAAATACTCCCTAATATATTAGGAATTACTCCTATATTTTACTGCTATTGACTTGTATGACTACATAGTCACTGTAAGTGCCGTCATGGTCAATGCAAATTGGAACTACATCATGGTCACCATGAAAGTATAAGTATATAACAATGGTCACTAGTCATTACATATTTAAAGTAATGTTGTGTCTTTTTTTTTAGTCGGCATTCATTTGCGAAAATGTGCTTGGCATCCCACTCAATTGGTGGTAGTAGTGTGGTACACTGAAACCCCAAAACAAGGATCGCTAAGCCCAATAAACGAAGTGGAACAAAGTGACTTTGATACCATGATTGATTTCATCACCGGATCAAGATCACTTTTTTTTTAATGCATGTAATCCAAACCATTGTAAAAGATTGATTTCTATCTTAACTGGGGTCATAAGCACATTTATCAATCCTGCCATACTTCAAAGCTTTCCGGCCTGGAGCTCAAAACAGTTTTCAAAGATAAAAATAGGCAGTTTATAATCTCTTCAATCTTTGAGCTTGTTTTCTCATTCACTCTCTTATCCATTTCTTTGGCTGTGTAGTTCAAACTTCAATGTTCTTTTATAACTACATTTTCAATTGTAACACTCATTCGTTTGTAACATTTTGTGCGTGTATGATCCTTCGGCATGTAATCTTCATGTTTAGATCTTCCATTTGTTTGTGATATAATAATACGGATTAAGGGTGTTTACTTTGGACCCTTTTCAGCTTTGAATCAGGTCAGAGTGTCAGACTAGGTCAGAGTGTTAGACTAGGACAATTATAAAATACACAGAGATTAAACATTTATCAGAGACTAGGTCAGAGTGTTAGACTAGGACAATTATAAAATACACAGAGATTAAACATTTACCAGAGACTAGACTAGAGAATTCTAGTCCAAGTAAAAACATCCTAATACACTATTGATTGGGAGGGGTGATGTCCTAAATACTAATATATATATATATATATTTTTGCTGTGGTTTTTGTTATCAAAGAGAGTTTGGTAAATATATTTCCAAGATAATCGACTCACAAACCCATTTTTAAGGAAATCCTCAAATTATATTAATGTAAACATTGTAGTATCTAAAATTTCGAAGCTCCAACAACATTCTTTCAAGATTCCATATAAACTAAAAAAATGTCCCACAATTAGATTGTAGACAATCACGAAGTTGCACGCATAGTTGACAATCCAATACATAATTTTTACTCAAATATTAATACACAAAAATGCATTTTTTGTGTGTGTGAAATAATAGTATAATACAGCACTGACACACGAACAGCTGAATAATTCGGATATACAAAATAGAGAAATGCTAGAGGTACACGTTTGGCTTGTTTGTGACAAGTTGTCTGCTCAAGACTGCAAAACGAAATGATTATCCATTCTCAAAACTTCTTCACATTCGTTCCTCAGAATAGTTGCTATTGAGAGGGATTTGAGCTTGCTCAACAAAGGTATGTTCTTCAATGCCTGTGCATCTCAGCTCAAGCTTCTCTCCAACCCCATGTAAACACCTCTTCCCCTTCATTCTTATTCACCGCTGCTTTTCATCTCTTCCCCATCCTGTGGAATCCGATAACATTGAAACATTAGTTCAGCAGCATCCCCCGAATTATGGAATCAGAAGGGAACCCCCGATTTCTGATAAACTGTTTAAATTCGCCTCACGCTCAGGTTCTCACAAGCAGGGCGACTCCACCTTTTATTCCCTCATCGAGAACTACGCCAACTCTGGGGACTTCACGTCCCTGGAAAAGGTTTTTGATAGGATGAAACACGAGAACAGAGTCTTTGTAGAAAAGAATTTCATTCTAGTGTTTAGGGCTTGTGGTAAAGCGCGCTTGCCTGATAAAGCTATTCAACTCTTTGGAAGAATGGTGGATGAGTTTCACTGTAAGCGGACGGTTAGGTCCTTTAATTCTGTTCTTAATGTGATTATACAGTCTGGGTCATATAACCAGGCCTTGAAGTTTTATCATGATGTTGTACATAGGAGGGTTTCTATGCCAAATGTCTTGACTTTTAACTTGATTGTTAAAGCAATGTGTAAGTTGGGTATGGTAGACAGTGCAGTGGAGTTGTTCAGGGAAATGCCTGAGTGGGAATGCAACCCAGATGCATATACGTATTCCACTTTGATGGATGGGTTGTGTAAGGCGGATAGGATTGAAGAAGCTGTGACTTTGTTGGATGAAATGCAAATGGAGGGCTGTTCTCCCACTCCTGCTACTTTTAACGTGTTGATCAATGGGCTCTGTAAGAAGGGTGATTTAGTACGAGCTGCAAAACTTGTAGACAATATGTTCCTCAAAGGTTGTGTTCCTAATGAAGTGACTTACAACACACTGATTCACGGTTTGTGTCTTAAAGGGAAGATAGAGAAGGCAATTAGTTTGCTTCATAGGATGACTTCTAGCAAACATGTCCCTAATGATGTAACATATGGAACCATCATTGACGGTCTTGTCAAGCAAGGGAAAGTCACAGAAGGTGCATACATTTTAAAAGCAATGGAGGAAAGGGGATACCTTGCAAATGAATATGTTTACTCTTCGCTGATTAGCGGGTTTTTCAAGGAGGGGAAATCTGAAGAGGCTTTGAAAACATGGAAGGAAATGGTAGATAAGGGGATAAGGAAGCCTAACACTGTTGTTTATTCTGCTGTTATAGATGGTTTGTGCCAGGAACGTAAACCTGATGAAGCAAGGGAGATACTTTTGCATATGATTAATATGGGTTGCACGCCAAATGCTTATACATATAGCTCCCTGGTGAAGGGTTTTTTCAAAACAGGTAAAAGCAATGAGGCCTTGCGTGTTTGGAAAGATATGGTGGATCAGAATGTTGTACCTAATGAAGTTTGTTACAGTGTATTAATCCACGGATTGTGCGAGGATGGTAAACTAAGAGATGCTTTGATGGTATGGAAGCAGATGATGAGCATTGATCGGAAACCCGATGTAGTGGCATACACTTCTATGATATACGGGCTATGCAGTTCCGGGTCAATAAAACAAGGACTTAAACTTTTCCACGAGATGTTATGTGGAGAATCTAGAAGTCAGCCTGATGTGGTTACGTACAACATTCTTTTTAATGCTTTATGCAAGCAGGATAAGGTTTCACACGCCATTGATCTTTTGAATAACATGTTGGATCGAGGGTGTGACCCCGATTTGGTTACATGTAACATTTTCTTGAAAAGTATGACTGAGAAGTTGGATCCACCCGAAAGCGGGAGAGTGTTTTTGGATGAGCTAGTGGTACGATTACACAAGAGGCAGAGAATTATCGGGGCATCAAATATTATAGAAGTCATGCTTCAAAAGACTCTATACCCTAAATTTTCCACTTGGGATAAAATGGTTAGAGAACTATTGAAACAAAAGAAGGTTCGACTAGCCATTGACAAGTGCTGGAATGACATGTTCCTTTGACTACTCTATGGGGGTCAGACGACGGCTTTTTTGGCAGCTTTTTATAAATGTTACACTGAGTTAGCTTTTTCAAATTAATACTCCCTCAGTCCCTCTGTCCGGGAATGTGATTCTCATTTATTATTCTTGTGGTCAAATTATCTTTCTTTCAGTTGCTTTTATCAATCTTTTATCTTTTCCAATCTTTTGCAGTTTAATATTCCTTTTAGTGCAGTCTCTAAATATGTACACATTAAATTTTAATACTAATTTAAAGATTATTAGGGGAGAGTTTATTTTTTCAGTCAGAAATAGTAAACCGAAATGGGGAGCTTAATACAGGACAGAGGGAGTACAAGATATTGTATTTTTAATGATAAGAAATGGTCTAATAATCTTGAGTTGCTTTGTGTATCTTCAGACTTTGGCATGGTCTACAATTAAAATCAACCACGGAAGTTCTTCCAGCTCTATCTAATCGGTGGTCATTGTATGGCTAGATTTGACGCAGTTAGTTTCTAATCTACTTATTGCTTACTCCATGTGACAGTCAAAAAGTGATGTTACTGTAATTATCTTATTTCATTATTATAATCTTCACTTCATTGACAGATAAAATGGGATCACAAATTGCTGCTTCATGCTATGTGCTGTAACAGGTTTGCGTTTCTTGATAATGTTTGAAACTTGACAGAAGCAGTTTGTTACAGCTTTTGGCTAGAAATGTCATTTTTCAATGCAATACCTATTCTAGGAATTTATGACATTAATTTTTACTGAAACAGATGATTCAAACATTAAGGAATTCAAAATGATGCCTCCCAGAAAAGATCTATCTGATGAAGAGTTGAAATAATTGGAGAAAGGTGGGGTGGTCTTTTGCTGGAAGTTACATCAATAAAACTCTGTCCTCTAGTCCAGGATTGAAGAAGTCATGAACACTTATGCTAACTATATTCAAGGTAATTATATTGTGTCATTCACTCAGTCCTCTTATTGTGATCATTCACTGACTTGGGAATTTCATTCACAGGTCAGAGTCAGCTCTACGTTGTAGCGATCAAGATGGTGAAATTGGAGGTTATATCCTTCTACCACCCATAGACGCTTATACTCTGGCAATTTTCATTCTCTTTCATTGTGACAATAATTCCAACTTGAATGTTCCTAATATCACAGATACATCTTCAATTGCGACATTTTTTTGTGTGATATTCGATTCAGGCATTATTATCGGGTTCTATTGGGCCACAAACAGCATCATGAATAACTTTCCCATGAATATCTACCGAATAGTGGGGTTTGAGAGTTTATCAATCTCTTCCAACATCTCTGCAGAAAGCCTCTCCCTTGGATTAGATTTGTTAGATCTTGGTCGATTTTATTGGTTACTAAACGGCTAGACCTATGCTTTGATTTGATGGTGTTCTACGGTTCTACCCAAAATCTAGCTCTCGTTTTCTAGTGCCTTGGGACAAGGCTAGATGCTTTGCTGATCTCTTTTGAAGTATATCATTGCTGAACGTATGGGCATGAGCCGGTCTCCTTATGATGTGCTACAGGCCTTTTGTTTTTAGATTTATTTAGATGCACAGTGTGGGCTGTGGCCAATCATGCAGTGCGCTGCCTTTTTTAGCTTCTTTTGAGTACACCCTGGGGAATTGTCCAGTGTTCTGTTTCTTGTTCTGAATTTAAAAAACTTTGCCATGAAAGCATATATGAGGAGCAATGTTTTAAGTTCTTGTAGTTCTGCCTCAATGCTGATTCATTCTTTGCTTTATTTACTTGCGACTACTGATTAACATCTGCTATTGTGTGATCCTGGTCCCAAGTATGATCATATTAAAACTTGTACTGCGAGTAACAACTGGATGGATTGAAATATAATTTACTATCCTCGTTTGATTAGAGTAAAATGTTATTTACATGTTATATCATCCCAAATCCTAAGGTAATTTTACATGTAATGCAAAATTTAAAAGTAAAATATAATTTTTTATCCTAATTTGTTTAGAGCAAAATGTTATTTACTTCTCTACATTTTTTGAAACATTTATTAATAAAAAGTAGAAAAGTTTAATGATGTAAGTGACAAAGTGTTTTATTGGAAAGTGCTAAAATGAAAACAAACACATTGCTTAAACTCCACATTTATTATAGCGTTCATGGAACTACACACATATGCCTCATATGTGTGGCCGTGTGGGTTCTCTCACTTGTCCCTTTTATGTTCGTTCTCATGAGTTTGAAAGATGGGAACTTATAATTTTTTTGATATTATGGTCATGGATTTTTATGTTACTTTAAGTCTGAAAGTCTTGATCAATCAACGGTGATTCCAATTTTATAACGAGAAGCCGGGAACTCGTAGATGCATTTTATCAATTTCTTTTGCGAGGAAATAAACAAACGAAGTTCTTATGACTGTACATGTGCCTTTTGACAATATAACGCTTGAAGTCCCTTTATTTTTTCTCATTACAAGTGCTCTCGAGTCTCGAACATCTAGCGAAAAGGGAACTTGAAAAATTGTTCTAACGTGTTGCAATTTACTTTGTCAAAGGCCAAAGGTGGTTGTTGGGGTTCCAAATTAATCTGACAAAATCGGGACAATCTAGTGTTAAAAAAACAAAAATAAAGCAACTGCCATAAGCAACAAATTTTTGGATTACTCAAGAGCCTAGAAGGGTGGAAGACTAGAAGTCTAGAAGTATAATATTAGTGGTAGGACTCGATAGGAGTAAAAACAATTTAAAACCTCACTCTATTTTCAAACAATTATCATACTTTCCTATTTGACTCATTCCAAAACATTTTCCTCTCTTTTTTGAAAATAATCTATTCTAATACGTAGTACTCTTTACTATTACAGGTGGTATAAAACAACTTTTTTTTAATCTCCAACTGACAATAGGCTTAATAGGCTTACAATAGCATTGATCTGAGACAGTCACATGTGCTCTTGCTAACGCATGAGCAACACGATTCGCAGATCGCTTACAAAAAGAGACAATATAATTACTCCTATCTTTCAACATATGCCTAATATAATCAAGAATAAGGAAGAGGTAAGACGATCCTCCCCCATTTTTTAGACGTTGGACCACTGAGATAGCATCGGTTTCAATCTCCACGTGTGTCCATCCTGCTTCTGCCGCTCCCATCAACGCATCACGAACTCCCATTGCCTCTGTTTCCACCACATACCAGCTAGCCAATTCTGAGACACCCCGGCCCCGCAGGACCCGAGATAGTTACTCCACACACCCTCCAGACCTCTAATAGTGTCTTCACAAACCACCACGAGCTTTTACCACGCACTTTGTGCTCACTCATGCGCGCCCTGAGAAAGTTCCCAGGGGGTCATCCATCCCAAGATTACTCCCGTGCAAGCACGCTTAACTTTGGAGTTCTTGGGAGATGAGCTCCCTTAAAAGGAGATGCACCTCTGTTGGTATGAGTAGTACTATTAATCCTCTTAAATTAGTCTCGAGTATTACACCTTTTGCCTTTAAAAAATTACCATGATGATCCCGTGCTACCCACCCCCAGGCTCGGGTATATTTGCCTTCATCCACCGCCCCATCCACATTAATCTTAACATAACCATCATGCGATCGTTTCCAAACTGTCAAGGGATTATTTTCTTTCCTAGCCTGCTTTGTACGTTCATTGCCTTGCGCATCTCTCCAACTCTAAAGTATACCTGCCGCCGTGTTTCTTACCCCCACAACTCCTTGCCATTTATCCTTCCAGACCATTCATTCAATCATTCCTCCTCTTCCATAGACTCCACAAAATAGCAATGAATTTGCATCGATCTTCCCCATTCGGTCCACCCAGGTGCTGCCATATCCACGTATCCACTAGATCTCCCGGGCTGCCTAGATCAACCCCCACCTGCCTCCAGACCTCATGAGCTCATTCACATATCGGAACACATGATCTGTGTCTTCACTCTCATCAGCACACACTTTACACCCTCTGACAACCTGCACTCCTCTTCGCCTCAGATTATCCACGGTAGGGAGAGAGCCATCAATAACCTGTCAAACAAAATATTTGAGCTTCAGTGAGATATGCAAATCCCATAGCAGAGCCCAGTTGGTACCGTCCGCTATCTGTAATTCCCCTGTAAGTAAGAGGTAACAACTCTTGACAGAAAACCTCCCATTAATCTCCACATTCCAACAGTACACATCCTTCCTGTCATAGGCACTAATGGGTATACTCAAAATCTTCCGCCTGTCATCTGCATTAAAAATATTATATAATTCTCTCCCTATTCCATTGTTTCCCAGTGATATCGCGTAGGGCAGCAACATTCATGTCTCTAATTCCTGTTGGTCTTGCAGATGTAACACACCCCCCCCTCTTCCGGGAGCCAAGCATCAGCCCATACTTGAACATCGATCCCATTCCCAACTCTCCTTCAGATATTATTTTTGAGAATATTTTGTGTCTCAAAAATACTACGCCAAATGAAAGAAGGGTTATTCCCCACCTGAGCATTAAGAAAATCTGAGTTCAGAAAATACATGGCCTTCAGCACTCTGCACATCAGACTGGCTGGCTCTGTCACAAGTTCCCAACCCTGTTTGGCTATCATTGCCAGATTTAAATCTCTTATTCTCCGAAAACTTAAGCCCCCCATATTTTTAGGCTTACAGAGTGCATCCCAACGTCTCCACCTCAATCCCTTCTGCTCAAATTTAGTGCCCCTCCACCAAAAGCCATTCATGAGTTTCTCAATTTCATCACATAAATTATTTGGCAGAAGAAAAACATTCATGGCATAATTAGGCATAACCTGAATCACATTCTTTAACAGAACCGCTCTACCTGCCCGAGATAAGAATCTATTATTCCAGTTCTTAATTCTGCTAAAAATTTTATCCTTAAGATAGCCTAGGATAGCAAATTTATTTCTACACACAAGAGTTGGCAAACCGAGGTACTTGCCTTGACCCCCTACCACCGGGATCCCAAAAATGCTACAACAGGTTCCTTTAAATTGCTCCCCAACATTCTGGCTAAATGACAAAGAAGACTTCGCATAGTTCACTGTTTGGCCTGAATTCTCCTCATAAATAGAAAGAATATTTTTAACGACCTGTGCCTCCTCACTGGTAGCTCTGAAAAAAAGAAGGCTAAAGTGTCAAATAGGTACATGAACTAACTTAAAGTGTTCAATTAGCCCCTTATATAGGAGGTTCTGAACGGCCGTCGCCAATTGGGGCGGTCCCCGGTGGAATTTTTTGATGAAATTTTTTGAGCATCTTCTTCATTAAGTCTAGTTTACCCATACCAAATTTCAGCTAAACATTCAACCGGGAAGGAAATCAAATGATTTTTTGAAGATAACTGTGCAGTTAAACAGCGCAATACATTTCGGAAAATCAATTGACTGCCTTTCCGATTTAATTTTTAGTTGAAATTTGATATGGGTAAACTAGACTTAATGAAGAAGATGCTCAAAAAATTTCATCGAAAAATTCAACTGGGAACTGCCCCAATTGGCGACGGCCGGGCAGAACCTCCTATATAAGGGGCTAATTGAACACTTTAACTTAGTTCATGTACCTATTTGACCCTTTAGCCAAAAAAGAAAGTTGTCATCAGCAAACAAAAGATGTTAAATTCGAGGTGCCCCCTACAGACTGCCACCCCGTGTATGTCGCCCCGAGCCTCGACCTTCCTCAACAAAGCACTTAGCCTTCCGCCACCATAATAAAAAGGTAAGGGGATAATGGATCTCCTTGTCTTAACCCGCGGCCAGGGTTAATCGGTCCCAAGAAATCTCGATCAAACTACACATAATAGCTGACAGTCGCAACACATTCCATAATCAAATCCACCCATCTCAACGCAAAGCCCATATGAACCATGATTACACGTAAGAAGTCCCAACCCACTCTATCATAAGCTTTACTCATATCAAGTTTCAAAGCCACAAACCCCTCTTTGCCATAACATTTTCTTTTCAAATAATGGTGCGCCTCAAAAGCTACCACTACATTGTCCACAATAGACCTACCCGGAACAAAAGCACTTTGATTTTATCCAATAAGATTTCCCAACAACACTTTTAACCTGTTAGCTAAGACCTTCGAAAATTTTTTATAAACAACGTTTCACGGCGCAATGGGTCTCCAATCCCCCATATCTTCAGGCTTATCTTTTTTTAGGGATTAAAACAAGATTTGTCACATTAAGTTCTCTTGGGATTTTTCCTGAATTAAACATATTGGAGCAAAGCCTACATATTTCCGGACCAACAATATCCCAATATTTTTGAAAAAAGACAGGATTCATACCATCCGATCCTGGGGCTTTCTCGGGGTGCATATAAAAAATAGCTGATCTCACTTCTTCAGGTCTTACATCACGAAGCAGCAACCGGTTCTGTTCTGACGTGATCTAGCCGCAATCCCCAAAGCAGTCTGCCACCTCTATGCTGTCGCCACGGGTAAACAGTTGCTCAAAGTAACCCCTCACCATGTCACCCACCTGATCTCTGTCAGAACACCACGAGCCACCTGTGCGCTTTAGCCCAGCCAATTTATTTTTCCGCCGTCTGTTCTTTACTGCATTATGGAAAAAGCAGGAATTAATATCCCATTCTTTTAGCCAAAATTCTTTTGCCCTCTGCTTCCAGAACAAATTCTTCTTTTCCAACAAAGAATAAAGTGTAGAGCGAACCCGTAAAAACTCACTCGTGCTTTGCCAATCATCTCTACCACGTATCCATGCCAGTCGCCCTTTGCATGCCTGAATCTGCTCCATGAACCCCTTCTTACGCCGACCATCCCATCTCATAAGCTCGGATCCACAAAAAAGAATTCTCTCATTGACCGAGAGATGAGTACTCACACTCCAGCTATTGGCTACCACCGTACGACACTCCTCCTCCTTTAACCAGCTATTCTCAAACTTGAAAATTTTTGCTCTCCGCGTCATGACTGCAGGAATAATTTTCACATATAAAGCCATATGATCACTTACAGGGGCCTCCACCGATCGAGCCTACACCGCTGTATACCTGTTCCACTAGTAATCATTAACAAGTATTCTGTCCAATTTCTCCTCCACATGGTAATTTATATCAGTACCTCGTTCCCAAGTCCACTGATATCCATCAAAAGGGAAATCCCTTAACCCACACGATGCCACCGCCTCCCTAAAGCCTCTGAGTCGCCAGAGTGGGTGAGAGATGTTCCCCTTCTTTTCCGAATCATATATAATATCATTAAAATCACCTAAAATCATCCAAGGCTTGTTATTATTTTCACCTAATCCTGTAGGAGATACCATGCTTCTATTCTTCGCACCGTATCCGGGAATCCATAGAAAAAGGTGAGTCTCCATACATGATCATTTGGGACAAGTCTGACCGTAGTGTCTATAACATTTGCATGGCACTGTACAACATTTAACTCAAGATCATCATTCCATCCCACGACCAGTCCCCCACTAAGCCCCGCACTATCCACACCCACAGACTGGGCAAAACCATATCCCCGTAGTAAATCCTTTGCTCGTTGACATCAGATTTTAGTTTCCATGAGGAAGATCACAGACGGACGATGAGCCTGAACAATATCCGCCAAGCATTGCACTGTTGTCAGGTTTCCGAGTCCATGACAATTCCAACTAATAATACTCATTGAACAAAACTGCCGGAACAAGCGGAGCAAAGCTCGCCGCCGGAAAAATAGGCTAGGATAAACCTAGAAAAACATCCACGCTTGAAGACGAAACTCGCCCCAAGAAATTCACCCCCAAGCCAAATAGCCTCCTGCTGCACGAACCACTTCAATAACAGCCCCTAAACCTCAGCTTCGATTGCTTGAAAACCGCCTCCAACTCGATAAAACACCCCAAGGTAATTACCCAGGGCTGAGATGCAACTGTCAAAAGCCTTCAGATCAAGCTTCGTCCGTCAATCTCCACCGTAGAGTTTGCTTCACCGCCGTAGGGTTTGTGAAGTCCCATTCTAACAATTTTTCTTTAATAGTGTACTATTAAAGTATATAAAACCTTTATTTTTTCCCTTTAAAAAAACTTTATTTTTTCAGCTGTCATACAGTCATACTCCTAGTGTAAAATGTAGGTACTCTTACCAACATTACAAACATATGTTGAAAAAGTTCTTAGGAACAAAGAGATAACATTTGTTGTTAATCAAGACATCAACGACTTTCATACCAATTTGCCAAAAAAGCTATTACAACGAAAGTACAGAGCGATTTTCAAATTAGTTGTAAAAAGTTATCATACCCCCGCAGGCCCGCTGCACCACTCAATTTTACATCTTTAGTATTTTAGTACGGAGTATTTATAAAATTTCTTTTGTTTTCTGATTTTGATTATCAATCCTAAATTCACTTTTTAACTCTTGAGAGTTTTTCTAATATCTAAATTTTTTATCAAGGAGGGTTTAAATGATATTAGGAAAAATTAACTTTGCCCATTTCCATAAACAAAAAGCGACAAAACTCTATTCTTTTCTTTTCCATTCGTCCTAAAATATACTCCCTCCGTCCCGCAAAGATGTGCCCGGTTTGACCTACACACATATTTAGGAAATAAAGTTGACTTTACTGTTTAGACACTGTTTAGCACTGTTTGGACACTGTTTGACACTGTTTTGCACTGTTTGACACTGTTTTGATGTAGGATAACTTTCCAGTTAGGGAAAGGGAACTTCTTTTTGAGACATCCAAAAAAGGAAAGCGGGAACATCTTTGCGGGACGGAGGGAGTACTTCATTTTTCTTATACTCCCTCCGTCCCGAAAACAACTTCCCACTTTCCTTAAATGGATGTCCCAAAATTAACTTCACACTTCAATACTTTCCTTATTTGGCAAATTATCTACATCAAAAAGTGATAAACAGTGCCAAACAGTGTTTAAATAGTGCGAAACAGTGTTTAAACAGTGCAAAACAGTGCATTCTACAGTAAAATCAAATTTATTTCCTAAAAGTGTGTGAAAGTCCAACCGGGAAGTTATTTTCGGGACGGAGGGAGTATAAAACTTCTCTATCCTCGACGAATTCAATCAAATGATTTCTACTTTTTTAGTCCAAGACTCTAAGTAAAAAGTTAAAACAAGTGATAATATTGGGATGATAATTTCCCTTATACTTTATTACTCGGTGTTTTCTTTTCTTTCTTTCTTGTCCCAATTTTTTTGTAAATTTTTACTACTTTCTTGTCCGTAGGTGATTTTATTATTCTGTATTCTAAGGATGTTTTTACTTGGACTCAAATTTTCTGATTTGGTCTATTCTAACAGGTCTGGTAAATGTCTATTCTCTGTATATTTTATAACTATCCATGTCTGGTCTAATTGGATCTGGGACGGAAAACAGCTAAGTATAAACATCCTAATCTGACAAAGTTTATTATGAGGGGAGGGAGTATTTATTAAAGAAAGGCGAATGTGGCTGAAGTGGGACAATTATATCCAAGATTTGGCAGACTTGAGGATCTTGGTTCCCAGATATCTGAAGCCATGAAAAGCTCCAGCAGTCAGCAGACCTGCTACTGCCTGCCTTCCACTTGAAACCAAAACCTTTCTTCTTATTATTCTACTCATCCATTTGGCAGCCTCTGCTTTTGAACCAATCCCTGCGCCTTGTCTCATTTTTCCTGAAACATTATGATCGAGGGTGTGTATGTCTCCCACAAAGGAAAAAGAGCAAGGATACATATACCCACCGTCCCAATATTAACTCCTGTTTTGACTTGACACACAGATTAAGAAGGAGAAAAATGTGTGGTTGTGCATAACAGCGATAAAGTGGGGGACAAATGTTGTGAATTACACATTCTTTGACAAAAGGGGAAGGAAGAGTTTATATTGGGACGGGCGAAAAAGAAAAGAATGAAGATAATATTGAGGACATATTGACCGAGTGGTGAAAAGTTAATTTGAACATCTAAAAGATTATCTGACATGAAATTATTGAAATGTAGTCTCCTTTTTTTCCTAGAATATACTCCGTAATTGAACGTACGTTCCTGAATTTTATCCCTGGATAAGTACTTACTCCGCATAATATAACATTTGACCTAAGATGGAGAAAGCATGCCCTTTACAAGAATTATCTTCATTCTTTTCTTTCTTTAAGAAAAAACTATTTTCCTCTTTTATAAACACAGAAAACAAATTAAAAAAAAAATGCCAAAGAATCAAGGAAAGTAATTTCCTTATGGTGCCAAACACAAAAAACAGAGAACATTTTCCTGGAAATTTTCTTTCCGTAAACGGAGCCTTAGTCTGTATTTTATTTTACTTACATGCCCACATATTTTGTTTCCTTGCAATTTCCATCATTTGCAATGGAGCCAAAGATTCATTATTTTTTTGGCTTGAGAATATGATGGAATAAAGCAAAATGGCTCACTAAACTGTCTGCGCTTCTTTGTTAGGAAGCAGCAGTCAGTCCATGCAATTTTGGACGCAATTTTCACTATGTGTCATCTGGAAACAGTCTCTTTGTGCTTTAGTACAGGGGTAAGACTATGTACATCCGACCCCCCTCTTACCCTACCGTAGGTGGGAGCCTTTGCGGCACTGGGGTAAATGAAAATGAAATGAAAATGAATTTCCTCTTGTATTCATTTGGTAGAATTTGCCGGGTTCCAGGCAAATCCCAAATAGCTCAATTAGGATACATGACATTATCTTAGTGAGCTCAAACTAACCAGACTACTACCAAGTAGAAACGTTAAAAGAAATGCAAAGACCCATACGAAGTTTTTCACAGATTATATTTAAACACATACCACTATCATTATCCAATTGTTTGAACCCTGCAAGATTAGCCCCCTCTACTTTGCTTCTAATAAGCGGAGGAAGGTGTGACACCAAGACAGCAGCAGCAGATAATCCTGAATCCTGGTAACAAAATGCCAAGGCTCATCAAACTTTAATACATTGCAAGTAATGCAGGACACAATTATTTGCAACAAACCCCACCCAATGAAAATAAAAGAATAAGATGGGAGTGTTTCAAAAGCTTGAGGCATTGTGGAGACACCTGAGATATACTTGCTTTCCTGTCATCTGTTGATGAAAACCTCAGCAAGCCATCAGCAGAAAACTCATCTAGAAATGGTCTATAAGCTCTTTGGAATAAGTGAAATTGTCCTTGTACAATATTTTTCACCTAGGGGTATGGTGATTAAAGAAGAGTTATATCACTTATATTTAGTATAGAATAATACGGAGTAATAAGGTGGATAGATAAGTCAAACATATGGTAGTCATATATGAAGTATGAAAGTAAATATCGAATAATGTGCTATAGAAGACATAAGTACAGAAAAACGAACGATGAGTCAAAGTTTCTAACAATTTTGCTTGAAAGCTTATAATAAAATGATTTTGGTAGTCCTTGGCAAATTATGATTTTGTGTAGCCATTATTCCAATTTCAGATTTTTTTTATTCTTCCAGTGTAATTACCAACATTTGAGATGCCAGAGAGAAATCACATCATGCTTTATACATCAATTATCTCAAATCATTGGCGTATGGTAAAAACGAAAGCAGACTGTTGCACATTGCTGCCCCACAAGGCAATGGTTCAAGGAAGGGTCCCACCACAAGCATGCATATGGATCAAGCTTTCCCTTGTCAAGAAGTTGTTCCCTATACTTAAACCCGTGACTTCTCAGTCACACAACACTACCATAACCAGTGCACCAAGCCCCCCCCCCCCCCCCTCAAGTCATTGGTATATGGTGCAAAGTAAAAATAACATAGGTCAATTGGCGGTTTTAGAATTTCACCTCTTGTTAATTCATAACAATGTTGCATTAAGAAGGATATTTGTCATAAGGCATTCGCATTGCGCTTATTTCAATGACTTTATAACAACAAACAATTTTAGAAAATTAATTAACACTATAAATATAAGCATTTAAATGTGAAAAAGTTTCCACTTTTCATTTTTTTCCTATACCAAAAATGTTGAATGCCAGCGTATTCTCATCCCAATGCTTTTCAGCTTCACCACATTGTCCTGATAATTTTATAAACATATGCATACTGTAAAGTTCTCCACTCTCTATTTATTACTTGTATTATTTATTTATTATTATTATTTTATTTATTTTTCACTCTGATGTCATATGTTGATTCAAGTTACCCGACCCCGAACTCTTATGGGATTGAGGATTGGATGTTGTTGCTGCCGTTGTATGCATATTGTGAAGGAATGAATAACACCATCTTACTCTATAGACTACATGCCACAATGGCGGGTGATATTCGAAAAGAAACTCTTTTCAAGAAAACTCTAAATCTTTGGTCCACTCACCCATACCTTATTTTTATCCTCTGCAAAAAACATACGCAAGTCGCCCATGTATGACAGGCTACATATTTTGGCATATAAGTCCTCCTGCAAGAAGATTTAACATAAGCAGGACTTTATCTATGCAAAAAGTTTTTGAGAATAATATTATTATACCAACTAACCTCACTGAACTCAGCTGGTAAAAGAAGGAGAGCTGCAGATGCAGCGGCTCTCAAATTTACGGTGTTTACATTTTCAATATTCAAATTATCCACAATAATATTAACCTGAAATCAACAAGCCAAAGTCTAAGTAATATGCCAGATATATTAAGCACACAAGAACTATACAAAATAAGTGAGCAAATGATCAAATCATGTATCACGACAGCACTTTCCACCAAAATTTAACACAAGCTGCAAGGGAATTAGTTGTGTTTGTCCTGACACTTCTCCCACGCAATGCCCATGTAACACAACATATCTTTATAATTTCACATGTTCATATTCTAGAAAAGATGAAAGACCTAAGAAATTCATATTTCCCCTTATGTACCCATATTTTTATTTGTTTATGACCATTCTCCAGCAGTTTCTGTAGAGAAATTACAGTTCTGAGGAATCCATTTCACACAAGGCCATAAGTTTAATAGTGTGTGTTAAGGCAGGAACATGACTAGGCAAGAAAAACAAAATCAGACATGTAATACAAGGCAAAGATAAAAATGGAATTTCTGAAATAGGCATACTGGTTTTTGCAAACGACCACTTGTGTAGAACCTCTCCCACCCCTTTATATCCTCGATCAAGTCATGCACTCGAACAACTCCATACTTGAACGTCTGCTGAAGGTATGCAAATAAGATTTCTACAGAAAAATTCATCCATGTGTCTGATTAGTTATATGAATGTTCACTACCTTCTTATTCCAGGAAACAAAGGGGTTGAAGTGTACACCAACACCAATATCATTGGCAATATAATCAATCTGATAAGGACACAAGTCACACAACATGAGTACATGTTGTGTGACCATGAGTACATGTTAAAGAGTTGTTAATGTGCTTCCTTTGTCAAGTTTCAACAAAAGATTTGATAAACTCAAGAGAAGAATTTGCATGAATTAAAAAAACGCTGTTACTACATTCATCACCATTAGCAAGAATAACTTGAGAATTTATAGGCATAAAATACTTTTAATGGTTTGTATTATGTGCCCCAAAAATACCCTTTAGATAAACCAATTATTTAAATTAGATAACACTTGAGAGTAAATGAAACTAAAAAGATGTCAATGATGGAATGCGTACCAGCCTGCTCCCACCTAAGCGAACCAGCCATGATGCATAATGATCACGGTTTACCTTCAAATTCTACTTAAGAGAGACAGAGACAGGATTTAAATAGAAAATGGAAGGAGAATATGAAAACAAAATATAGACCAGACAAAAAGGAATTGAAATGGAATATACTTCTGTATGCCATTGTAGAGGATCAGCTACACCAAGAATGTAATCTACCATGGAATTCTACATGTAAAAGGGAATAGAGTAAGCACCAAAAACATCAGTTACTAAAGTCTGCAACTCTACTGCCACTATTAAACCACATGGAAGACTGCATAGCGAGCAGGACATGGTATAGCAGAAGAGAAAAAATATATTAAACCATTTATTTATATGTAGTATATTTAAAACAGACAAATGGACAACAAACTGTTATTGTCATTGCCATGAATGCCATCAATAATCAATTGCAAAATATAGAAACCAAGTGTTAAATACTTAAATGTATTCAAAATCTTGAACACACACACTTAAAGGATAAGGGCTCAATACATAAAATATATACTAAGGTTTGTCATTTTACTATCCGTACGGTCTAACTCATAAGGGTATCAAATTTCCTATCTTATTCGAACCTTTCTTTTGGGAGTATGATGGAGTAAAGCAAATTGCTTGCGCTTCTTTGTTATGAAGGAGCTGTCAGTCTACAGTTTTCGATGAATTTCATCAAGGGTCATCCGGAAATAGTCTCTTTGTCCTTAAGTACTGGGGTAAGACTACGTACATCTGACACCACTTATCCCACCGTAGGTGGGAGCCTTTGAGGCACTTGGGTAATGTTGTTGTAGTTGTTGTACTCGAGCTCTTCTTTTCAGCTTTGTATTTTAGTACGTACTCCCTCCGTCCCATTTTACTTGTCTTAGTTTCTACTTTCTTTTATGGGTTGTCCAAAAATAAGTGTCACATTTCTTTTTTAGAAAGAAATATGTGGTCTACATCATTTCACTTTATTATACTTAAATCTCAACCATAACTTTTACAATTTTCAACCACTTTACTAGTAATTGTGTCAAACCAAGACCAATGTAGAACACATGAGGTGAAAACCTCATGAGATTTGGAACGAAAGTAGTGTATATAGAATATAGATGTAAATTTACACAAAAGAGTAAGAAGCAAAACCTGATCTTTTTTGTTTGGATGAAGAATGGAGCCATAAACACAACAGAATTCAACTGGAGGTAGAATATTAAGCAAACCTTCAAATTCGGTCTTATCCCCAGCATCCATTTTAACCGACTAGATGGAACACAAACACGCTAAACCTTGAGATAAATTGTGCGCCCGTCTACACTGCGCAACGGGGACACGCAGAGGCCTCCCATGGATTCCCCAAAGCTAGGTAGCAATCTTTCTGAACTCACAACCACAAAACCCTCAAATTCCAGAAATAAAGCCATAAAGCTGAAGTAAATAAAATATAACAAAAAATAAAACTGGGTAAAATTAAAACCTGAAAATCGGAAGACCAGCGACTCAGCAAGCAGACAGGGGAGGAGTCCGGGGGAGCAGCTGTGCAGGGCGGGACTCGGGAGGCAGGCGAGGGGAACTGCGGTCTGCGAAGGGAAATAAAGAATTGCAGGGGCGACTCGGCCGATTCCAAGCTTTCCGGCTAAGCGGAGAACGCTAAACGCCGTGAGTGGTGCTTCGGCAGTTCGAGTAGCGGTGAGGATGGATGAACTTTAACTAAGGTTGACGGCAGTTATTTAAGTTATTTACTTCCTCAGTTTTTTTTTATCTGTCTCATTCCATGTTGAGACGTTTTTTATTATTTGTCTCTCTTTCTATTTTAGAAAAGTTTTTGATAAAATACTCTCACTTTTTTTACTTTTACCCCTCTTACTTTTTACAAACTACTTTCTCTTTCCTACTTTATCAAAACTTTACTCTACTTAATATACTCTATTTCCTACTTTATCATCACTTTACTCTTTTTAATATACTTTCCTTCCTACTTTATCATTTACCCTACACACTCTACATTTACCCTACTATTTTTCTATTAAAACCCGTGCCCAAGGCTAGCGGGACAGATAATAAAGAACGGAGGGAGTATTTTTTATTCCAATATTACTAAAATTAGGATAAAAGATAAAAATGTGATCTGTTTTTAAAAATTCCAAAAATGTGACCAACATCACAATTAACCCTGCAGTGTAAAGTGACTTCGGGCAAAGTAACTCCGGCCAAAGTGACCTCATTGACCACAGCGATTGCCCCACTAACCAAAGTGACTGCCCCGCCGCCATAGTGACTGCCCACCGCCCTCAGTGACTGTCCGTCCACTGCCCACCGACCACAAGTGACTGTCTAGCGGCCTCAATGACTGCCCACCGCCCTCAGTGACACGTCATCTCCGACCACATTGACATGTCATCTCCGGTGTCACAGCCCATCTCACAACCCCTCAGCCAAGCCCGAGTGGCGGACACAGGGGGTGACAAAGGGGGGCTGCAGTCCCTCCAAAAAATCTAGGTATATTTACCTCGAAATTTTTAATGTATATGTATTTGTGTGTATATTTTTGTACTGCCGCCCCTCCTATCGGAAATTCTTGCGCCTGCCGCTGCAAGCCCGCCCTATGGCCGCCGCGGACCGCTGCCCCAGTCTCGGCTTGACTCCCCAACCTCAGTCACCTCCTCAGCCCACTCCCTAGCTCCAAGACACCTCCCAAGCTCCCAGCCACCTCCCCAACCCCCTCCGATCCCACATCTACCTCAGCCCCCAGCCACCTCCCCATCCCGCAAATGTCCTTCCCCAAACAACATCTTAACCCCCAGGTCCTCCACCCCATCTCCCCTGCCCCTTGCACCCAATCCACAAACCACCGCTGCCATACACTCCCCTAACGACGCGGAACAGTAGATCTGTAGATTTCGAAAGCAGGAAGCACCTACAGTACCAACACCGTACCTCCGCAAGCAGCGCAGCCCAAATCGGGATCATCGTCCATCAATGATGGCAGATGCGGCACCGGCGGCTCCGAATCGGACTCGTGGCCCATCGAGGAAGGCAAATACTGAACTTGGGGGCCTGGAATCGGGGTGATGGGCGGCTAGTGAGGATAATGGAGAAGGTAGGTGATGCCGCGCCGTCGTCGAAGCAGAGGGCGGAGGTATTACCATCGACGAAGCGGTGGTGGCTGGAGCAGTGGCAGAGGAGAGAATGAGCCTGGCGTTGGAGCTTTCTGTCTTTCGTCCATGGCAGCTCTGGCGTCGAATGAAGACGGAAGGCAGCGAGCGTAGAAGAAAAAAGGTAAGGCCATGTCACTTTTTTAGAAATTTTGAAAACACCCATACTTTTGGGAATCAAAAGCCCATTTGCTATCCCTTTTATTTTTAAAAAAGTTTTTTTGAAATGATTTTAGAGAAAATATTTAATAGTAAAAGTTGTTAATGTTTGAGAAAAATGAAAAAGTAAAAGTGGATAATGTTTGATTATATACGTGATTTTTGTGTAATATAATAAATGAAAAATACTTTAAAGTATCTTTCAACATGCTTCCATCTTTTAGCTTTTAAGTGCTTAATTTAAGTAAAAGTTGTCATTTAAAAACATTCATTTAAACTTTGTTTAAGTCAGAAGCTGAGAAATACTTTTTAAATCTCAGGCATCAGGGCGTGAGGGCGCCAGGCAGCCAGGCACCGGTGCACCGAGTCACACAACAGTGAAGCACGGCGCAGGTAACCGTGTTCAGTCCTGATTTCAGAATTTCTTCAATTCTTCGCCCAATAGCCTTCTTCCGCAGTTCGGCACTTCCGTGAGTCCGTCGTATGCTTGGAGCAGAATAGATGGGCCGTAAATCAAGAATCTCCTCAATTAATTAATTACGGAGCATATTATACTGTAATTATTACTAATTTATTATACATAATAGTAATAGTGATAGATTTTTTTTTGTGGCCCTCTTTTAAAGTGAGGCCCAAGGCAATTTTGTGGGCCAACTCCCCCATGGACGTCACTGCCTGGTGACAACAATTATACTAGATTTAAATATTACAGGGTGGGTCAAAAATGAAAATTGAAAAAGTTTACATTTAAAAAAAAGAAGGAAAAAGGGTCATATAAACCCATCTACTATTTCAAAAACATCATATAGGCCCATATACTTAAAAAAGAATCACACATATACATCTACTATTGAAAAACAATCAAGGAGGTCCAATGACTTGTTAGCAACCTGTGATAGCAGGTCACCATCATTATTTTAGCTTTTTCCTTTTAATCTTTCCATTTCTTTTGTCTTACGAGTTACGGTTGCAACATTCTTCGTTGCTTGTTTTATTTTGATTTTTTCCATTTTCCTTTATTTTTTATTTTTCTTCTTAGTCATCCTTCCTAGACTCCCAGTCATCCTCTACACCCATCTCCTATGAATCATTTCCTTCGAATCATCTAAATCATACGGAGAATAAATCTAATGTTTTTTTTCCTTTTATTTCATTATATCTAACATTTTCAATTCTTCCACAATATTTCAATAATACGGAAATTACACTTTTAATTCCTAGTATAATATGGATGTAGTATTATACTGCATTCATCTCATAAAACTTGGTCAACTTTTCCTTTTTGGTCGTCCAAAAAAACTTTGATATTTCCCTTTAAAGTAATAAATAGGTGGCTATAGTTATTTCTTTGTTCTTTGTACAAATATCAATCACACAGTTTTTACTTTATTAATCTACGTACAAATCATCATTGGCCAAGTTTAATGGGACGAGGGAGTAAATGTTACTCCCTGTTACTGTCTAATTTAAAGGAAATATGGTTTTCACCGTTAAAATCAGATTAAGAGCCCGTTTGGTAACACGAAAATCGACTGATTCTGCTAAAATTTATGAAGTTATGGCTGATGTAGCTGCATTGGCTTATTCTGCCGATTTAAGGGGAAAAAATTTAAAATATATTTTATTATTAAAATAATGAAAAAATTATATGTAAAATAGTTAAAATAGTCATCTACTGTAACCTCAGCCAATACAGCCAGAAAAGTAACTTCAACCTTATTTTTTCTTATTATTACACAATTCAGCGCGTGAAAACAAAAATCACGTGTTTGGTGAAAAAGTTGACTGATAAGCTAGATAAGCCAAAAAACAGTGTTACCAAACAGCATCTAATAACGTTTATTTGTTTTGCTTTTAAAACGATTAACATTGTAGTTTCTTACAGTGTCAAAAAGTTATACAATGTTTGGGTAATTTTTAAAATCCTTTACATTGGCATCTTTTGTCTCTAAATATAGTTGATAGAAAAACAATATTGGTCTAAAAAATGCAATTTTATAATTTATATTGACTGATGGCCATGTTTGACAAATTACATCTTTTAAGAATGAAACTATTTAAAATATACAAAAATAAGGAAATGTTCTTTTTTAGAAATACCTTCATAAAAGTATAACATTATATTTTTTTACAAACATATTAACTTAGACCATTGTTCAAAGTTTATTGTTGTTGACTAAGAAAAGTAAATTTGGCCATGTTTTATGTGACGGAAGTACAAGTTTTGTACACATTTCAAAATTATTCGCACCGGTAAATTATTTCAAAAATATTTTGAAAAATACCACATTTACAAATTTTGAACACAATTACAGTCACTAAAAGTGACTATGGGCATGATGTAAACTTTGAATACATTATAGTCACTAAAAGTTATAAAATCACTTTTTTGTCCATCACTTTTCCAGAATACTAGTGAAAGTTTTCTTGTCTTTTGTACTCGCAATATAATTATGTCTTTAAAATTAAGTCACATAAAAAATATGCATGTCTATCGAGAAAATGTGTATAAAAATTACGGAGTACAATTTTTGTCCATGCCTAAAAACGTTTTACGTATGTGTTATGCACTTATTATGAGTAAATCATTTTTTCTGATCGATCTTGTCCAGTTCAAAAGATTTTGAAAATGTACATAAAAGTTGTACAAATTTTAGCCTTTGTGTGTGCACTAAACATTTAGTATTTCGAAGGGAGAAGAATAATAATTAAAAAATGAAAAAGGAGATGATAAACGAAAAAGAGAAAAACTGAAGACAATAAATTAATCTAGGGAAATGCAAATACAAATGAAAGATAGACTGAAGAAAAGGATAAACAAAAGAAAAAAAAAGTAGACAAACAAGCTACTCCACTTTGAAACTGAGAAGGGGCAACTGGGCAAGGGAGAATGGAGAAGAAAAAGAAAAGCATTTACCTACTATTACCTGTTAGTTTCAAGTCACATGGTCTCATTGATTGTTTTTCAATAGTAAGAGTGTCTATGTGATACTTTATTACGTAGAAGGACTTAAGTGATTGTTTTGCATTAGTAGAAGGACTTATGTGACCCTTTTCCCAATAACTTTTAAAAAGTGAATAAAGTGATATTATTTTCACTTTTTAGTCTACTTGTGAAAAATTCCCTAGAAATTTGTAGGGTATTCTCGGCCTAAGGCCCAAATGGCAACACCTTATTATCAGTCCTATCCATCGCTAAGTCCTACCAGGATCCTTACAAGCAACATATGCAGTCCCTGATAGTAAGTTATTCACTTCGTTGACACACGTAAAGTAGCCATCACTGCTTACATTTCCAGTTTGCTTGAATTGGCACGTCTTTTTCCATGTTTTAGAAATTTCAGAGCTAAATGTTCTGATAAATCTACCTGATTATGAGTTTCTGAGATTAGCAGATAACATAATTTCCAAAGAAAAAAATGTCAGT